CTAAGAAGGAAGTTCCAGAACTTGGGAGCAGCCACTAAGAAAGAAATTGACCATTTTTCTATCAGATGCATTTTTGAGGGTGATAGAACCGAGAGAAGGGTGTCCCCCAGATATCAGCTCCCAGGCAGGCTTTTGTGAGAGAATGCAGTCTTTCGGATTGTGTGGACCTGAGTCATATCTTCTATTTAGTGATTCAAAGCACTAGATGATGGATTTATATGTCAGGGGGAGAATTATTATGCATACTTCTCTTTCACTTTCTTTACTGCACACTTCTCATTGTGAATTCAGTGGAACCTATCATGCTACGTCAGGTGACTATTTTGCAATGTATTTATATTGCAACAGTACTAATGCAGATTAAGCTTGGAAAAGGTGATTATCTTAACAAGGATTTGCATACTTGTATAAAAGCCACCTGCAAAATCTATAGATATCTGACCACAGCCAATTATTTATGACATTTGAGAGCAAGAGCACCAATTATTTCATGGAATCGGTATGGAAAATCAAAATAATGTGTTTCAAAGGCCATTTCATTTGTCTTTACGAAAGACAAACTTGAGATCAACATGACTACATTTTTGTGGTGTTTTGACCTTTTGATGAGCATTCTAATTTTGTATTAAGTTTCCACTAACTCGTAATTTAAGTATAATACCAGTGAAATGTGATCCACTGAAAATGAACAGTTTTAGTTCTAGGAGAAAATGTTAGATGACAACAGCATCAACTACGAGAAAATGTGCTGTCATTTCTTATCCCTCACACAAAGATTTGTATCTGAGGATGACTTTGCAGAAGGCAAGGCAAAGGACTTGATTTCACGGTTACCACCTTCTGATGTAATCCTGCTTTGCCATTTTTCTTTTATTCTAGAAATGCCCCTAGCATGGAAAAATAATGTCACAGATATCTTTTATCATGGATTAGCAAAAAAACAAACAAACCCCAGGTTCATAGTCTCTGTGCCAGTCATAAATGCACAGATATTATTTTCCTTTCTTCATTAAAACATAGTTCAGCCTCTTAAATGCATTGCCTGTATGCTTCAAAATTTATTTATTTATTATTTAGTTAGAACTTTTTCTTGACCTCCGCAGAGGGACTCAGTCAACAAAAGATTCCTAAACAATAGTTTAAAACATCACATCCCATAATACACTAACATATTAAAATACAATCATATAATTACATAAGGCCAAGTTGTCAGAATGAAGTCACAATTCATCGCCATCCGTCCATGTGGTCAGGAGTTATTGACTCACTCATCAAATGCTAAATTCCAGAGCCAAGTTTTCACCAGTTTTCTAAAAGTCAGGAGAGAAGGGGCTCGGAATTGTGCTCGCAAGCTAATCTCCAGTGGGAGAGAGTTCCAGAGCCGAGGGGCCACCACCGAGAAGGCCCTGTCCCTCGTCCCCACCAGACATGCTTGCGAGGGTGGTGGACCGAGAGCAGGGCCCCTCCAGAAGATCTTAACAACCTTGATGGTTCATAGGGGAGAATCCGTTCGGACAGGTAAACTGGGCCGGAGTCGTTTAGGGATTTATAGGTCAACACCAGCACTTTGAATTGTGCTCGGAAGCTAATTGGCAGCCAGTGGAGCTGGCGCAACAGAGGAGTAGTATGCTCCCTGTACCCCGCTCCTGTTAGTAATCTGGCTGCCACTCGTTGGACTAATTGCAGCTTCCGGGCAGTCTTCAGAGGCAACCCCACGTAGAGAGCGTTGCAGTAGTCTATACGGGATGTAACCAGAGCGTGGACCACCGCAAAGATCCTATGCTTTGTGTAGGTAAAGAGCTGTCCTGTGTATTCTTACTTGGACGTAAGTTCCACTGAGTTTGTAAACACTGATTTCTGGAAAAAAAAATCATGCATTGTTTTGCTTGACGTTTATTATTTGCTTATGAGTTTTACTGTGATATTTGTATTTTGTTGTTGTTGGCGGCCTTGGCCTTTGTAAGCCGCATCGAGTCCTTCGGGAGATTTTGCGGGGTATAAATAAAGTTAATAATTGTGCTACCACTATGTGACATCAGTAGATTTTGCACAAAATAATTGTTCATTTTTTAAACTGTCCTAGTAGATAACAATATCCCACAGTAGATCAAGCCATCACCCTGTGCATTGGTATTTTGTTTGTATTATGGTTTGCAGAAGCTTGCTTAAGTTTTGTTGTCATTAATGCATCTAATATTTTGTTTTCTAAGTCTTGTAAACTTGTAGATAAAGTTTATATATACTATTGCTATGGCTTGAAACCTGCAGAATTCCCTGAAATGATCTGAAAATAGAGCCATAATTGCTTATAATAGCAATTCCAGTGAAGTATTCAGCTAAGAACATTCTTACGCATTTCACTAATTTCTCTCCACTGCCTGATCATTTTAAAATCAACCTGTATTAGCTGTAAATTACTAATAAGCCCTATGGCGAAACACCGCTAAATGTATAGGTAGCTTAATCTTGTATAACACAATAGAAACTACTTTGTGGCATGGCTCACAATGGCTTCAACTAAATCATTCAAATTAACACAACAGTTTAACCAGGTTTAACTTCTTACAGCTTAACTAATCATTTAGTGACAGGAGGCATTCATTTCCTGTCCTGTTTTACCAGATCCATGGGGATTACTTTTATTTGAATTTTGGCTAGTTCTTTTGTTTTTGACATTCCCTGTGTTTCCAGTTGTTTTCATATCAAAGGTGTTGTGTCAAAATAAATGTTTGATCATCAGCATAATGTTGTTTAGAGCGGTTTAGTTTTTAAATTGCAAAGAAGATGTAATCTTGTCCATTGATTTTTTTTTTCATCTTACAATGGTGTCTGCATTTTCATGGATAACTTGTGTAACACTGGTATGATGTGTATTACGAAGGAGCTTTTCATGGTATCTTGGCACGTAATATGAGCCCTATTATGACTTACTATGACAAGATCATGCCACGTATTGATGTGATTTTCTACCCAAGATAGCCTTCAATTCCTAGTTTTCTCCAAGATTGTTCCTCTTGGTTCGGTCACTACACTTTGTGCTTTTTTATATAGAACAGCAGGACTCAAAATCTCCTAGGCTGTTTCTAAGGTACCAGGAGGATGCCAGTGGCCTCCTGTTGCTCCCGCAAAATGGTCTTTGGATCATGTTGTGGTTTATCTGGCTTACCAGTTGAATGGTTGCAGTTCACCTGGGTAGGTTCAGGATCACCCTACTGGATCTGTGGGAACTTCCATTGCCCTTCTGAGGGGTTTTCTTCTGAAGATCTCTGTTGAACAGACGTTTCACCTATTCCATATGCCTTCATCTTGCACAACGAGGTTGATGCTCACTGTTGTAAAGGTGTAGCATTTGGCAGAGCCATCTTTTTTCCTTTCTGTGAAGGGTCATTCCACAAGGTCATTGTCCACTTCTATGGCCTTCATGAGGAGCTTGCAGCTGGATGCAGTTTGCCATGCTGCCACATGGTCCACGCCGCTTAGCTTTGTGCCTCACTACAAATTGGATGTCTCCTCCAAGAGGGATGCTTCATTTGGAAGGGCAGTCCTCTTCTCTGCGGTGGCATGACGCCCACCAGCCGGAGTTGATAGCTCGCTAATCTACCATATGTGCGATTCAGAGTTGACTACAAGAAATTACAAGTTGCTTACCTGTAACTGTAGTTTCCTGAGTAGTCACCTGTGAATTCGCACATCCCCGCCCATCCTCCCCTCGAGTGTAATGCCCCTTCTGGCTGCTTTGCGGCGGAAGAGAACTGGAGGTCTAGCCCCGTTCATGGGCTATATATACTCGGGGTGGGCAGGGCGAGGCGGGGGTAAAATGTCTATTTTAATCTTCCAGAAGGTTCTGAAGCTGGTATGATGTGTCACTGGTATGTTTGAAATGTTTCCATTTTGCATATGGCAGCAGTTATTATATCTGATGTGACCAGTGCATAATCCTAAGACACAGTTGATAGAGTCTAGATTTAGGACAAGCTGAGTCAAATATTTTTTATAAAAAATCTCTTTGATTTTTTTCTGATCAGGGAAGTAATGATTTGTTTCCTCTGCGTGGTCCCTGTAAAATGCAAACATATGGGTCTCCTGCGCCTGCGCAGACAGTCTTGGAACTCGCTAGAAGCTTAAAGATACATTTTGGTGGAAGCCCCACCCACTCTCCCCTTGATAGGATATATAGCCCATAGGCGGGGCTACCGCCCCAGTTCCTCTTTTCCGCTGCAGTAGCAGCAGTTAGGAACCACTCTTCTTTTGTGACTAGCCAGGCGCAAAATTCACACAGTTTATGCCAAAAACAATGTTTCCTGTACAGGAAGCAGTGCTTTCTACCCAGAAAAATATATTCCTGCTTTCGGTGGAAACCAATCATGTGAATTTTGTGCCTAAAAATCCCCCAACTCCAGTATATTCTGAGTAGGAAACTGCATTTTCTGTGCAGAAAAATGTGGTTTTTCTACTCTGAAAATGCAGTTTTCTGGAGAATATAACCATGTATAAATTTTGCTTAGAATAAGTCTCATACTCTGTAGACTCTCCATCCATGATTCTTCTCATCAGGGCTTCTTGATACATTTTCCCACCATTTTTCCCAAGTACTTTGAATATTTCTCCCATCTCTTTCCCTTCTTATTTCTGTTATAATTATAAGCTTTAAGTCTTCATTTCTACAATAGTTAGGATATATCTGCCTTATTTGTTTCTTGAGTGTGCCATAGTTGTATTTATCCATTTTTGCTCCCTGGATTATTGTGGCTGTCTGGAGAACCAACTTCACCTAAGTACCTTTGGATTTAATGAACAAATATAGTGTAATAATATAGTTTGTCTTCATCAAGAGAGGTTGGAATATTTAAGGAAAAATGAGTTAATGATTTATTGTAGGTCAGGACACCAAGAATGTGATGTTAACTGTAGGTGCGCTTCATCTATAATAGTGGTTATTCTTTATCATAGGTTTGTCAGTGTTCTGATTTCAGTGATTTTTGTGCTCTTTGTATTTACAGGAGCAGACCTTGGCTCTGAGAAAGGAAGGCATTGGAGTTGTGCTAGACTCTGAACTTCCCCACCTAATAGGCATTGATGATGATCTTCTTAGTACAGGTATCATCTTGTATCACTTGAAGGTAAATCAATACTTATCTGTTTTCTAGTTCCTAAATAGACAATTTTAATTGTACTGTTAATTTGTTAAAATGAGTGAGGTGCTCACCATTTCTCTGCAAATAATGGCGCACCAGTTGTTTCATGCTCTTAATTAGTTTAGTATAAAAGTATCAGTCAGCTAGTGCTTATTTCTGTCCTGAGGATCAGTGATAAATGAATGGCATTCCTCTTGGGCATATTGATTTTTCATTAATTTTGCTGTGGCCATGAATAGGCTAGAAACTTTCAAATTGCTTACTTCCTTATAGTTGTAAAGATGCAACTGTAAGGGAGAAACAACAGTAATTTACAGTCATATGAGATAAGCTCTATAAATAATTCATTATTTTAGAAAAACAGTTCATTCAACTGTTGGCTTTATAGCAATAAATATTACCTATCTGATGCAATTCAGTGTTTGTACAATAATGTATACCACTTTTTTTCTTATAGGAAGGTACAACGCATGTTGGCAGGGAAGATGCTGCAACAGAACAGGATATTGGTAAAAAATATGTCTGTCATTAAGAACCTTAATGTAGGATTATCTCATAGACTTATTTATTTATTTGTCATGTCAGGGTAACCAGTCAATTGTATTATATTTCTAACAAAACAAAACAAACAGACAAAACACAAAATTTGCAAGCTTTGGTAGTTGATTAAATGTCCTTTGACCAGTATCTGGCCACTTGGAGTGCCTCTGGTGTTGCTGCAAGAAGGTCCTCCATTGTGCATGTGGCAGGGCTCAGGTTGCATTGCAGCAGGTGGTCTGGTTTGCTCTTCTCCACACTCGCATGGCGAGGATTCCACTTTGTGGCCCCATTTCTGAAGGTTGGCTCTGCATCTTGTGGTGCCAGAGCGCAGTCTGTTCAGTACCTTCCAAGTCACCCAGTTTTCTGTGTGCCCAGGGGGGAGTCTCTCATTGGGTATCAGCCATTGATTGAGGTTGTTGTTAGCCTGCCACTTTTGGACTCTCGCTTGCTGAGGTGTTCCAGCGAGCATCTCTGTAGATCTGAGAAAACTATTTCTAGATTTAAGTCGTTGACGTGCTGGCTGATACTCAAACAGGGGATGAGCTGGAGATGTCTCTGTCTTGGTCCTTTCACTATTGGCTGCTACGTCCTGGCGGATGTCAGGTGGTGTAATACCAGCTAAGCGATGTAATTTCTCCAGTGGTGTAGGGCGCAGACACCCCGTGATAATGCGGCATGTCTCATTAAGAGCCACATCCACTGTTTTAGTGTGGTGAGATGTGTTCCACACTGGGCATGCGTACTTAGCAGCAGAGTAGCACAGCGCAAGGGCAGATGTCTTCACTGTATCTGGTTGTGATCCCCAGGTTGTGCCAGTCAGCTTTCATATGATATTGTTTCTAGCACCACTTTTTGCTTGATGTTCAGGCAGTGCTTCGTGTAGGTAAGAGCACGGTCCAGAGTGACTCCCAGACTCATAGACTGAGATTTCATTATTCTGTTTCTACAGCAAAATCTTAGAAGTCTTAGATTCATAAGTTTGAAACGGGTCTTAGAATGTCTAGTTTGTGTATGATATCAATCACAATATGCCACTGATGAGCACTTATTTAGTAAGTAATCCCTAATGACAGGAACTACCTTATATACTTGTGTAGATGTCAACCTTATGTATAAGTCAAGGGCAGGCTCGGGGTCCAAAATTATGGATTTTGAAATGACCAGTGGATATGTTGGGGAACATTCTACAGAGAGGGGAAAATATCAGCACCACTTCAGGGGGGCAGCCACCTCCTCCACCGCTGCCACCACCACCACTATTTCCCCGCCTAGGCATTTAAAAGAGCCAGAAGCGGGCCACTGGCAGGGAGAATAGAGAGGATTGGTGTTTCTTTGAGGTTCTTTTGGGATAGACTAAACTCTCCCTTTCACAACTCTACTTAGAGAACAGAATTGTTTATTTTTTTTATGATAGTTAAGTATTTATATTATTATTTATTTACAGCTTTTATATTCCGCCCTTCTCACCCCGCAGGGGACTCAGGGCGGATTACAGTGTACACAGAGGCTATTTAACTTTTTTTTTCTGGCCGCCAGGGGAGCTGTCGCTTTCATCGTCCATCTGCGACACTGATGAAGCACTTCCGCATTCCCCGCATGCTTCCCCGCTGGAATGCTTTGCTGGAGTCTTCTTTATGGCCTCATAAATCAGTTAATTTAGCCTCCCCACACTTTAAGGTGGTACCTAATTTTCCTACTTGACAGATGCAACTGTCTTTCGGGTTGCAAAGGTCAACAACAGGCTACACACAATTGTTGGAAACCCACTCCAAACCGGGCTGGCTTTGAACTCATGACCTTTTGGTGAGAGTGATCTTAATGCAGCTGACACTCAGCCAGCTGCGCCACAATCCAGCATTTATATTACCTTTTGGATAAGTTTACCCAGGTCTTGGAGGCTGATTTTTACTAAACTTTCTAAACTCATACCTGACTTCATACAGTACATTTTGAGCGTTTAAAATGGTTAAGGCACTGAGATCAGACCATGGTCTTCTCCTCAGTTATCTTTTGTTTTGAGACTTATTCCGATGCCCATAACTGTGCTTAGTATTATACCTGCACTTACAGTAACTAAGAGGCATACTAATTAAGGGTTACATCTTAACATTCAAAACCAGCCATTGGCCACCCCAGTCTCTGAGTGATAGTAAAAGAATGGTCAGAGTTGTGACTGAATTGGCCCCAAGAGTGACTTAGGTAATAAAAGCAGTTATTTCATAATGGAGGAAATGTATAGTGTGGGATTGCAGAGGAAGCCCTGAAATGTGTGTTAAGATTTTTTTTTCTATAATTGGGCAAGACTTGTATAGTACCTCTTAAAGGTATGCCTCCTGAGACCAATTGTAATGCGAACTTATCCTTAGTCTCTTCTGTTGGTTAATGAGCTTAATTTGTAAATAGTTATTATTATGTTAACAGAGAAGAATGGGTGCATTTTATTACTTCTAGCATTTTAATCTATACAGATGAGCTCGACAAATGAGGCCATTTATGTAATTTGCCCTTCTTGCACTGTTCATTGTTAGTCTTTCTTTCTTTTCAGACACTCATATTTATACATATAACTATGCAAGATGATATTACATCACAATTCTCTTTTGGCAGTGAATAGAATAAGAGTCCATAGATTTGAATTCTAGGATAAAGGGCATACGATAGGCACAAGTGCTGGTCTTACTGATTACTGTATATACTCGAGTATAAGCCTAGTTTTTCAGCCCCCTTTTTAGGTTGAAAAAGCTCCCCTCGGCTTATACTTGAGTCAAGGTTATTTATTATTTTATTCTGTTATTAGTATTACTTTTATTCCATGTATTATTTTACTTTCTTTATTATTATTATTACATTTACAGTATTTTACCCTATTATTACATTTATTATACTTTATTATTATTGCATTTATTATTTTACTCTATCACTACATTTATTATCTTGCTCTATTTTTACTATTATTATTGCATTTCCATTAGAATCATAGAATCAAAGAGTTGGAAGAGACCTCATGGGCCATCCAGTCCAACCCCCTGCCAAGAAGCAGGAATGTTGCATTCAAATCACCCCTGACAGATGGCCATCCAGCCTCTGTTTAAAAGCTTCCAAAGAAGGAGCCTCCACCACACTCCGGGGCAGAGAGTTCCACTGCTGAACGGCTCTCACAGTCAGGAAGTTCTTCCTCGTGTTCAGATGGAATCTCCTCTCTTGTAGTTTGAAGCCATTGTTTCATGTCCTAGTCTCCAGGGAAGCAGAAAACAAGCTTGCTCCCTCCTCCCTGTGGCTTCCTCTCACATATTTATACATATTTATACGGGGCCCATCATCATATCTCCTCTCAGCCTTCTCTTCTTCAGGCTAAACATGCCCAGCTCCTTAAGCCGCTCCTCATAGGGCTTGTTCTCCAGACCCTTGATCATTTTAGTCGCCCTCCTCTGGACTAAAATGATTACATATTACATTTATTATACTTTATTATTATTGCATTTACTATTTTACTCTATTACTACATTTATTATCTTGCTCTATTTTTACTATTATTGCATTTCCATTATTTTACTTTGTTATTATTATTATTATTACATTTATTATTTTATTCTCTTTATTATTGTTGGAAGAATGTGCAAGTATATTTACATTGAAGAAGGTTAAAATAATGATTTAATCAGAGTTGGGCAGTCCTATCTCAAATTACAGTCTTATGTAAATATTCAAAAACATTTCACCTCCTGGTGCCTCAATTAATGTAATATTATTGGTATTTATTTTTATTTTGAAATGTACCCGTAGTGGCTGCATTTCTCACCCTTGGCTTATACTCGAGTCAATATGTTTTCCCAGTTTTTTGTGGTAAAATTAGGTGCCTCGGCTTATATTCGGGTCGGCTTGTACTCGAGTATATACGGTATTTAAGAAGAAAAATCTGTTTGTGTTTTGTAGTGCTTCATGGCCTCGACTTGGAAAGTGAGCATTGCATCTTTGAACACTTGAATGGAACAGTTAATTTAATACCACTCAGCGGAGCACAATGTTCTGTAAATGGAATTCAAATTGCAGAAGCCACACAACTCAACCAAGGTATTTGTCTAGAAAGAAAGAAAATATCTTACCCTTCATAGTAGCACTGAAAAGTCATAAAATACTAGTTTTTCCTCTTCTGTATATAATGAAACATATTTTGAACTATTTTCTTTTTGTTCAAAAGAATGCATTCTATAGTTGTCCAGATGTCTTTGAACCACAGCTTCCTTTGGCTCAAGCTAACTTAGACAGTGATGAAGATGAGTGATGAAATTTTCACTGCAAGTTTTAGAAGTCCAAGCATTTCCAGTTTCAGTCATAGTTCATTTGAGCAGATGATGAGAAAAAAATGTGTGTGTGTGTGTGTATGTGTGCAGGAAGAGGTGATCGGACTGGGTTGCAATCTCTCTTTGTAGCCAGTGAGTCATTCCAAAATAAAAACTACAATATTTCATGGCATAATAATGACTACCATGTAATAATCACACTCCTATTTTGGGAGTGGTAAAATTGGGGGTTTTTTTTGTCTTCCCCACATAATAGTTGCACAGCCATTTGGGACTATTCTTCCTTCTTTTGCCAAAGGCAAGGCAATTTTAAAAACCAGAAATGGGGGTCTTTGGAATGTGAATCTTTTCTTCTTCATGGTTGCACAATTGGGTCTAACTTGGCCTGCGCAGGTTCCGACGGAAAATAACAAATGTAGAGAGGCAAGGAATTGTAGGGATTGGTGGCAAGGAAGGGTCGCTAAAGAACCGATCGAAGGCCCAGGGCAACTTGGCAAAGTACTTTTGACTTGGCTATAAAAGGAACAGACTCATCACCAGTGCTTAAAGTCAATATCTCAAAACAGACTCACCACCTTCTATAGTGAGGGCAGGTCTCCTAAAACTTGAAAGGACAACACAAATTCTGTTATTTACAACCCCGATATCCAAAGTGAGAGTGATTGAATTTCTCAGACAGTTGTGTTCATCATGTGATAACGTGGCCCTGTTGAAGTGGAAGTGAATTGAAGGGCCCATAAAGACTCAAGGTGGTTATATATTTGTCCCAAAACATACCAGAACAATGAGGTGCAACGATGTGAGTCCTGCTTTGGGAGGTGAGAGGGTCTCATTAATGATGGAAGAGAAGTATTATGCCTGCCCCGAAGTTAATGCTGTTCTAGGCTAAATTTTAAAATAATTTGAAGTTTAGTTCAGAAAGGTACATGAGAGATCTGCATATCATTTTTACTTAAATAGCAGCCAAGGGGAATCCTTTGTGTTTTCGGTTTTACTCTATTATATATTTATTTATTTACTGTATTTGTATACCATCTTTCTCAGCCAATTGGCGACTCAAGGCGGTTTCCAACAAATCAGTATACATAAAACATAATATAGATAAAAAAAAACATTAAACAGTATAAAACATCACAAAAGCAATAAAAGCAACATCATCAGCGTCTCAATCTCAAGCATCGTCCAATTTCCTTGTCAGGTCATTCGATTTCCTATATTAGCTACTCTGTATTTGTAAACGCTTGCTCAAATAACCACGTTTTAACTTGCCTCCTAAACGTCAAGAGGGAGGGAGCAGATCTGATTTCCCTAGGGAGGGCATTCCACAGCCGAGGGGCCACCACTGAGAAGGCCCTGTCTCTCGTCCCCGCCAAACATACTTGTGACGAAGGCGGGACCGAAAGCAGGGCCTCCCCAGATGATCTTAAAGTCCTCAGTGGTTCATAAGGGGAGATACATTGCAATTTGGAGATAAATTGCAATTTGTTGTTTGGGCTTGGCCTCATGTAAGCCCCTCCGTTGTCCCCATTGGGGAGATGGTGGCAGGGTTATTATTATTATTATTATTATTATTATTATTATTATTATCCTGAGGATGTTCTAGACCAGGTCATCTTAAATATTTTCCACTGTGGCTCCTTGTTGCTCGAGAATGTTTCACATGACCGTAGATATATAAAATAGTTAAAAATAGGTCAAACAATGAAACATTTGTTGTTGTTTATTTGTTCAGTCGCTTCCGACTCTTCGTGACCTCATGGACCAGTCCACGCCAGAGCTCTCTGTCAGCCGTCACCACCCTCAGCTCTTTCAGAGTCAAGCCAGTCACTTCAAGGATACCATCCATCCATCTTGCTCTTACAAATGTTTGGTAAATGTTTGTCCTTAGTCAAACATTTACTGATAATAAATCAGCATTAGCAAGGCTTGCTAAATAGACTGATTTTCCCTTTTAGTTGAGTACAGCTGAATTATTTTCTGCAGAGTCCACTGTAAACACAGAATTGTGTAAATGAGTGGCATTCAGCAACCTTTTGCTGTTGCCAATTTTTATTGACCCCAACATTGAGTTTAGAAGGGCCCTATTTGGGGGTTGTACTCACAGTTTAAGAAATAGTGGGCTGCTAACCATCGCAGGGAGGTGAGCAGGTTTGATGGAGAAGGGCAGGTTCCTAACAAATGCTTTCAATAAAGCTACAATTAGGATTTCAAATGGCATCTTTCCAAATAGCAATTTTGAAGGGTTGTATTGTCGAAGGCTTTCATGGCCGGAATCACTGGGTTGTTGTAGGTTTTTTCGGGCTGTATATGGCCATGGTCTAGAGGCATTCTCTCTTGACATTTCACCTGCATCTATGGCAAGCATCCTCAGAGGTAGTGAGGTCTGTTGGAACTAGGAAAATGGGTTTATATATCTGTGGAATGACCAGGGTGGGGCAAAGGACTCTTGTCTGCTGGAGCTAGGTGTGAATGTTTCAACTGACCACCTTGATTAGCATACAATGGCCTGACTGTGCCTGGAACAAACTTTTGTTGAGAGGTAATTCGATGTCCCTGCCTGCTTCCTCTCTGTTGTTGTGCTTTTGCAATTTTAGAGTTTTTTTAATACTGGTAGCCAGATTTTGTTCATTTTCATGGTTTCCTCCTTTCTGTTGAAATTGTTCACATGCTTGTGTATTTCAATGGCTTCTCCGTGTAGTTTGGAGGAGTGGTTTTTGTCTTGGTTATGATAGAAAACATTTAACTTCAACTTCTCTTTTTTTGGTTCTAAGAGTCTACTCATGATTTCCGATGGTTGCTATTTATATATTAAAGTATATATTAATTGCACTCGCACAGTTTACATCCTGTGTAGTTGGCCCCATGAGATTAAACCTGAACTTGAAAACTCTTCTGTGTTTCAGATCTGAACGAGAAGGGAGTTTGTTTTTTGATTTGTTGAATAGGCAGTCAGAAGTACTCTACAGTGTCACAGTCTTTTCACAGAAACTATTCGGTCTCTTTAGAACTGATTTGTTTCTTGAGAGAGAGAAAATACTAAAGCTTAGCCTTATTATTGTTAAAGACATATGGTCTTCAGCCACAAAGTCGCTCTGAATTTGAGACTTGGTAAAGTGTGTGTATGAATTTTTATAGACCTGGGGTATAAATGCATCATTTATCTCTGCTTTTTGCCACTGGTTCCAAAGACTTGACCGATTGTACTTAAATCATTCCCTGAGATTTTAAAAAGAAAACAATACATTTAACCTTCCAGCTGGCAGAAAGAAAAAGAGAAAAAGCTTTGAAAAGTAATGAATATATTCAAGAGTTAAAAGAGAAACTCTTTTACAGTGTTACCAGGTAGAATTATAACCAGCTGGGACCCTTTCCCTATAGTTTCATAAAAACACTATTCCAATGGAAAGGAAGGCCAATCTGGTGCAACACATAAATTACAATGATGGTATTGAAATAGCTTTGCAGCATAAAGTTTTATGAACAGTAAATCTCCTTTAAGATTAGAGTGCGATAAAGTGCGATAGGCAATGTTAGCATAATTTTGAGCTGAAAGAAAGGAAAGACTAGATTCTGCCTTTCCAATAAGCAATTTGGCATAGTCTGCAAAATATATTCATTTTACAAACCTTTATTACATTTTAATTTCCGTGGCAAATTGGGCAAGCTACCAGAAAGCAAAGCCGTGATGCAAATACTTTGAGAAAAGTTTGTGGCATTGAAGTTGTGTTTCTTGTTTGGCTTTTACTTTCATAAATAAGATATAGGATCAGAAAACTACTAGAAAATATTGGGATTTTTAGACGACGCATAAGTAGATGGATAGAATTAACAAAAGACACTGTACTACTAATTCTTCATTGGCAGTGTGGATTCAAGACTGACTTTGACATGTATATCTTGGGTTGTTGTAGTTTTTTCCAGGCTATATGGCCATGTTCTAGAGGCATTTTCTCCTGACGTTTCACCTGCATCTATAACAAGCATCCTCAGAGATAGTGAGGTCTGTTGGAACTAGGGAAAAGGGTTTATATATCTGTGGAATGACCAGGGTGGGACAAAGGACTCTTGTCTGATGGAGCTAGGTGTGAATGTTTCAACTGACCACCTTGATTAGCATTTGATGGCTTGGGGTGCCTGGGGGAATCTTTTGTTGAGAGTGATTTGATGTGCCCTGATTGTTTCCTCTCTGTTGTTTTGCTGTTGTAATTTTAGAGTTTTTTAATACTGGTAGCCAGATTTTGTTCATTTTCATGGTTTCCTCCTTTCTGTTGAAATTGTCCACATGTTTGTGGATTTCAATGGCTTCTCTGTGTAGTCTGACATGGTGGTTGTGAGAGTGGTCCAGCATTTCTGTGTTCTCAAATAATATGCTGTGTCCAGGTTGGTTCATCAGGTGCTCTGCTATGGCTGACTTCTCTGGTTGAAGTAGTCTGCAGTGCCTTTCATGTTCCGTGATTCGTGTTTGGGCAATGCTGCGTTTGGTGGTCCCTATGTAACTTGTCCACAGCTGCATGGTACGGTAGACTCCTGCATGTTTCTCTAAAATTACAACAGCAAAACAGCAGGGAGGGTGTTCCACAGCCGGGGATTTTAGAATACAGTAATCTCATGTATACATTAGTCCATATGCTAATCAAGGTGGTCAGTTGAAACATTCACACCTAGCTCCAGCAGACAAGAGTCCTTTGTCCCGCCCTGGTCATTCCACAGATATATAAACCCTTTTTCCTAGTTCCAACAGACCTCACTACCTCTGAGGATGCTTGCCATAGATGCAGGCGAAACGTCAGGAGAAATGCCTCTAGAACATGGCCATATAGCCCGGAAAAACCTGCAACAACCCAGTGATTCCGGCCATGAAAGCCTTCAACAATACATGTATATCTTGTTCCAACCCACTAGCAACCCATATTCATCTTTAAAAAGATGAATAATGCATCATTTAGCAGCCCCCTTTGCCCTATATAATAATTTAGATTGTAGCCTTGCCAGTGCACATGACATTTTATGATATTTACCGCATGGTGTCTAGTTTATAACAGGAGCCTCCAGAGCATTGTCATATCTCGCCAAGTCAGGAAAACCACTTGAACCTTTCCAAGAGTAATTAAAACAGAATACAGAAAGTTGACTCACATGGAAGCATCTGCTGTTGCTTGGAACAAACAGATCACACTCAAGATACGGTTTGGAGATGCAGTTTGGCATCAGAAAAAGTAAAATGAGTGAAGCTGAAATCCCATGTGTAAATTACCTTCTGACCCCCAGAAGATAATTCTGTTCTGTTCTCCAGTCCCAGAATGTCTTCCAGACCACTCCAAGCAAACAGTGGAGCACAATCAAACTTTGTAGTTTGTTTAGTCATTTCCCACTTTAAGAAGCAGCATGAACTACAGTTCTGCCTGTAACCAGTAAATTTCAGTTCCTTGACTTTCTGTATTATGCAGCTCTGGCCAGAAAATTCTGTGCTACTAGTTTTCCTTTGAAGTTATTAGTAGTGAGTCTACATGCCTAGTTTAGGCATTACTTTCTGAGTTTCTTTGTTTTTGAAAAAAATAAAGTATTTGATTGACATGTGTGGATGCAGTATCCTTCCCTTTTGTCCTGGCTAAATATTACGCTTGTCTGCATTTATGATCTATCAGAGACCTATCTGGGGTTTATAGTTGAGTGAGGCTGCTAAAGGCTCCTCCCTAAACTACAACCCCTAAAATTCTGCAGGAGGCAGAAAATGGATTTAAAGTTGATTCATTCTCTAGTGTGATGAAGTAGCTTGGGTACTATAGCTCTAGAACAGCAAAGCCAAGGAAAGTGTACTCTTTGGTATCAGAAAAATGTCTGTCACATGCCCCTTCCTTAACTTCAACTGATTAGAAATTAGTTACCTTATATATTCTTGTCTAAGTCATAAGTGTGTAAATTGAGAGCAGGTTTGGGGCTAAAATTATGGATTTTGATATGATCAGTACAGAAATAGAAGGTCATGGGCCATCCAGTCCAACCCCCTGCCAAGAAGCAGGAATATTGCATTCAAATCACCCCTGACAGATGGTCATCCAGTCTCTGTTTAAAAGCTTCCAAAGAAGGAGCCTCCACCACACTCCGGGGCAGAGAGTTCCACTGCTGAACGGCTCTCACAGTCAGGAAGTTCTTCCTCATGTTCAGATGGAATCTCCTCTCTTGTAGTTTGAAGCCATTGTTCCATTGCGTCCTAGTCTCCAAGGAAGCAGAAAACAAACTTGCTCCCTCCTCCCTGTGGCTTCACATATTTATACATGGCTATCATATCTCCTCTCAGCCTTCTCTTCTTCAGGCTAAACATGCCCAGCTCCTTAAGCCGCTCCTCATAGGGCTTGTTCTCCAGACCCTTGATCATTTTAGTCGCCCTCCTCTGGACACATTCCAGCTTGTCAATATCTCTCTTGAATTGTGGTGCCCAGAATTGGACACAATATTCCAGGTGTGGTCTAACCAAAGCAGAATAGAGGGGTAGCATGACTTCCCTAGATCTAGATACTATGCTCCTATTGATGCAGGCCAATATAGAGAATAAAACAGATATACACAATAATATAATTTCCAAAGAGCTGATTAACCACCCCAGCATCATCCTCTGAAATAGTATAGTAGAAACAGAACAGATGCAGAACAGTATGCCCATCATACCATCCAGACAACTTCTTGAATGTTGCTAAGAAATCCAGCAGAAGTTTGTCTTTTATCAAGGTAATTCTTCAGAATGACCAAATTAATTTCCATACCAAAACCAATCCTGAAGCCACATTCAAATAGGGCCATACCAGGCTGTTAGGCATTGTGGGAGTTCAAGTCCAAAACACATGGAGGACTGAAGTTTGCCCGTGCTGGGCTAGACAGCCAAAAAGATCTCTGGAGCTGGCTTACAACTATCCACATGACCACCTTTCCAGGAAAAGTATTGTTGATGGCTGCAGGTCTGTAGTTGTTTATAACATCTAAGTTTGCTTTTTTCATTAAAAAAAAAATCAATCACTCCTTCCTCAAAAGAGGCTATTCCACTTAATATAAAAATCATAACTTCCACACATGCTTTTCATACGAGTAGGCTATATAGTACATTCAGGATTCCTGTTTAAATAATTTTTGGATAGCATAGGGTTTTATACACAACATACAAAGACTCTGAGGGTTTTATGATAAAATCAAATAGTGGAGTGAGAAATTAAAACCTGGAAACAGCTTTTGGGTGACAAAAAATATTCTTCTGTAAAAAAAATATATGAAAAAGACTCCTGAAACCCAAATGCATGTTTAATGAATGCATTATTTGTGAACAAAAAATGGGATTTTCTAAAAAGTCTTTTTGAGACAAAGTCTTTTGCAAAACCCCCGTGACCCTACGATTTGTAAATACTGAAATATATTGACCAAAATGTTCACCACTGTTTTTCTTCTGACTTGGGTTTCCTAAACATAAAAAAAAAAATATCATTTTTAGCCAGGAAATGAACAATAGTGGATATTATTTCCATTGCTAGTTTGTTTCATTTGCTGAAAATAATGAAGACATTGTAGAAAGGAAGATGGGCTTTACTGGCTGAAACACAAATAGTTCTACTTGCAGCATTGTGAAAAGCTTGAAGATATATATATATAAGAAAAGTATTATGTAATAATTCTTACTGCCAATACGTTGCTTTTCTTTTGTCATAATTATCAGGGCTATGCCCTTTATCCATTTTCTCCTAGTAAGTGCCTTTTGTCAGTATTGCCCTTAAAGTGGACGTTTTTTGGTGTATTTATGTCTTCAGTGATACTATGAATCTTTCTTGCTAGGTGCAGTAATATTACTTGGCAGGACAAATATGTTTCGTTTCAATCATCCCAAAGAAGCAGCCAAATTGAGGGAAAAAAGAAAGGTGAGATTAAAAATATGGGAAGCTGACATTAATTGTAACTAGCACATTTAGTATGACATTTTGCCCTAATTATAATTGGAATTAAAACGTGTTTTGAATGGGAAATGCTAGAATTATTAATAACATGCATTTAATACTAGGAAATAATGACTGAATTTGTTTGCTTCCTTTTTAGAGTGGGCTACTTTCTTCCTTCAGTTTGTCCATGTCAGATCTTTCAAAATCTTGTGAAAATCTCTCAGCAGTCATGCTTTTTAATCCAGGGTAAGCATATTTCAAATATTGTTTTAATTATAGTGATGGTATAGCAAGCATAGTTTGTATATGTGTGTTAAAGCTGATATTTGAAACAAGAAGTTTTCCTAACAATTTTGCTGTCTGCCTATGTTTACAAAACTCAAATTGTATATATTAAATAATATGGATAAATAAAGCTTGGAGAGATGAGAGAAATAGTTGGAAATGTTCTGTTTAATGTAGGGATGTTGCAACTATCCACTACTGTAGCAGTACTACAGAGCCATTCGGTCGCTGTGAATTTTCTGGGCTGTATGGCTATGTTCTAGAAGCATTCTCTCCTAATGTTTCACCCAGATCGATACGAGGCATCCTCAGAGGTCGTGAGGTCTTTTGGAAACTAGGCAAGGGAGGTTTATATATCTGTGGGATGTCCATGGTAGGAGAAATAACTCTTTTTTTAAAAAAAATTAAAAGATTATTTTTATTGAAAAAAGGTTATCAACATATACAACATATACAAACGACATATACAAATCGACAGACATAACAGACATATCTATATACCAGATAAAGAGCTGCTACCATTGTTGATTGAATACTTCCTTCTTTAAATTCCACTCTCCTATATAAATAACCATACATAACTTCTCCATTCGTATTCACTCCTACTTCCATATCCGTAGCCTGAGCTCAAGGACTGCACGTTTGCTCAACCCCTTCTCCCCCCCACCCTACAACGCCTTACAATACCTGTACATACATATACATATACATTCCCCCTCAACTTCAAGTGACCATGTATTTGATTTCATTTCAAACCTATCTTAATTTACTTGTTGGCCTATACCCTACTTTTCCATCACTTTCGGGATTCTTCTTACCTTCCATATGTAAAATTATTTTTCTTTATAAAATTGATGAGGTTATTCCAATCAGTGCTATCTGCTCTTATTCTGTTTTTCCTTATTTTCTGTGTTAACAAGTCCATATTCATAATGTCCATGGCCTTGTTGATCCATAAATTGAATGTTGCTCTATCCTTGGTTTTCCATTCACGGGCGATACTTATCCTCGCTGCCGTGGTCAGGTAAAAGAAGATCTTGTCATCATTTTTGTTTAGCTTGAGATTGGTCATTCCAAGCAGGAAATATTCTGGTTTAAATTCGAAATTGAATTGAAGAATCTCTCTCATTTTCCTATACACTTCCAGCCAGAACTTTCTAACGACTTCACAATCCCACCACATATGCTTAAATGTCCCCACTTTCTTCTGACGTCTCCAGCATTTTTTTTCTGTCTTACCCTTGCTATATTTTGCTAATTTTTCTGGGGTTTGATACCACATGTAAAACATTTTTATCCAATTTTCTTTAATCTCAGTGGCATATATGTATTTCAATGTTTTTGTCCATACCGCCTCCATGACCCTTTTTGAAGTGGACTGTGGCATGACATTCTGCAATACTTGCTGAATTGAACACTATTTGTGTCTTAATATTTGCACTAAAATGTGCGATGCAAGACCAGAAAGTTTATTTTGTTCTTTACAATATGTTCTGTCTACTTGATCTTTATGAAACAAATTGGAATTGGAGAAATTGGAATTGGAGAAAGAACTCTTGTCTGCTTGAGGCAAGTGTAAATCAACCAGGCTCTGAAGCTACAAGGCCATTAAATGCTAATCAAGGCCATTAAATGCCAATTGTCTCAAGCAGACAAGAGTTCTTTCTCCCACCCTGTGGACATTCCACAGATACATAAACCTCACTTGCCTAGTTTCCAACAGACCTCAACCTCTGAGGATGCCTGCCATAGATGTGGGTGAAACATCAGGAGAGAATGCTTCTGGAACATGGCCATACAGCCCAGAAAACTCACAGCAACCCAGTAATTCTGGCCATGAAAGCCTTCGACAACTATATTTTCAAGAGTTTTGAGGAAGTATGAATGATTATTAGGAAGAAATGAAAAACTACTATAAAGAATTGAACCTTTTTTTTAGAAAGAGGATATGTTTATATTACTTTGTGCACCTATTCAAATGCATAAGGTTTGCTAAAGCACACTATGCAGTACATTTTCAACATTTTATTTGTCGTGTCAGGGCAGCCAGTCAATTATATTACATTTCTAACAGAACAAAGCAAACAAACAGACAAAATACAAAATTTGTGAGTTTGGTAGTTGATTAATTGTCCTTTGACCAGTATCTGGCCACTTGGAGTGCTTCTGGTGTTGCTGCAAGAAGGTCCTCCATTGTGCATGTGGCAGGGCTCAGGATGCATTGCAGCAGGTGGTCAGTGGTTTTCTCCTCTCCACACTCGCATGTCGTGGATTCAACTTTGTAGCCCCATTTCTGAAGGTTGGCTCTGCATCTCGTGGTGCCAGAGCGCAGTCTGTTCAGCGCCTTCCAAGTTGCCCAGTCTCTGTGTGCCCAGGGGGGAGTCTCTCATTTGGTATCAGCCATTGGTTGAGGTTCTGGGTTTGAGCCTGCCACTTTTGGACTCTCGCTTGCTGAGGTGTTCCAGCAAGTGTCTGTGTAGATCTTAGAAAACTATTTCTAGATTTAAGTCGTTGACATGCTGGCTGATACCCAAACAAGGGATGAGCTGGAGATGTCACTGCCTTGGTCCTTTCACTATTGACATATTTTCAACATGTCAATTGTTGTTTATATAAAAGTAAAAGCACTAGATATAGAAGTAATGGAGCTCTAAAGTTAGACTGTAAGTTAGACATTACAGAAATTGCCATCTCTATCTGTGACCATCACCCTACTTAGTAGCTGCTAAGAGATATTAGACCAGGTGATATTAGTCACCACAGTATCAGCCCCTTTTTTGTAGGTTGTAGGGACTTGGGGTAGGCAGAATGGATCCAAGAGGACCATTTTCTCTTCTCCCTAATGGTTGGTTAGCACTGGCAGAGCTAACAGTTCTGACTGTCTGTTCATCGAAGGTGCTTTCATATAGGAATGGATCAGTACACCAAGTTAAAAGTTATTGTTTGATAATTTGTTTGTTTATATCCCATCGTTCTCCTGATATAGAGATTAAAGCTGACTAACAAGGCATAAAGCATTCTAGAGTCATTCATCTACGTTCACTGGAGTTAGGGGCACAGGACACCCTTGAAAGTGAAAAATAGTGTTTAATTATTATTATTATTATTATTATTATTATTTACAATTTTTATATTCTGCCCTTCTCACCCCGCGGGACTCAGGGCGGATTACAGTATACACATATATGGCAAACATTCAATGCCAGTTTGACAAACAACATATACAGACAATACACAGAGGCTATTTAACTTTTTTCTGGCCGCCAGGGGAGCTGCTGCTTTAATCGTCCATCAGCGACACCGATGAAGTTCTTCCGCATTCCACATCCCGGAGTTTTCTTTATGGCCTCATAAATTAGTTAATTTAGCCTCCCACACAAGGTGGTACCTTATTTTCCTACTTGACAGATGCAACTGTCTTTCGGGTTGCAAAGGTCGACAACAGGCTACACAATGGCTGGACACCCACTCCAACCCGGGCTGGCTTCGAACTCATGACCTTTTGGTCAGAGTGATTTTAATGCAGCTGACACTCATCCAGCTGCGCCACAATCCCGGTTCTCAGTGTTTAAAGAAATTGCTGTCATTTTTATCTGAGATAACATGTCTTTAGTAATTTCTGAGTTTCCCAGCACAACTCTATGGTCAGCTTCTGCTGGAAACTGAAAATAGATTTGCATTGGAGAACCTAGTGATTCCTAGAGGGATGTTCTCTCTAGAAAAATTCCAGGTCCTTCACCATGACTAGAGGAAGTTGACTGGAGATTATAGAGATTTTTTATGCAAATATTTTTTTTTCAAAAGAGAGAAAAAATTAACTCAAATAAACAAAAAAGGGGGAAAAAGGGAAAGGTGGGAAACATCACAGGATATAATTTGCAAGTCATTTTTGCCAACAGTCATATGCTACCTTTCTCGGTCCTGTTAGATTTTCCTTTATTTTGTTAATATCTCTGGTGTATAACCCGTATTTTCCCCATCCTACATTTATTTCATTCTCTACTTTTATCCATTTATCTTCTCCCTTTACACTTATTTCTAGTAGTGCTCTTAATTGGAAAGCCTCATAATAATATTGTAAGTTATGGAACCATGTTAGTTAAATAGTTCTTCACATGAGTCTATTGTCAAAGTCATAGAGGTGAGAGAGTATTGTTGTACATATTCTTTAGTATAGGGAGGAAGTAAAGTAAAAGAAAAATGTTCCTTCAGGATCCACATTGATTTCTTTTATCTTCTTATATTGATGGCATCTTCTCTAACAAGATTTAATTTATCTTCTTATATTGTCCCTTCATTTCTTCTTTTCCAACTCTGCATAGTATTCCTTCTCCTTATTTTACCAATAAACTAATTCAAACTCAATTTTTTCTACTCTAGTTGGAGGTCAACTATATACATATCTTAAAGTTAATTTCTTTTGTTAGTAGATTAGTTATATATATAGAAATATTTATTATAATTATCATTCATATTGGATTTACACATAATAAATCTTATATAAATTTATATATCTGTAGTATCAATCTTTTTGAATTTATACACTTTTCTACTTTAATTCAGAAGTATTAACTCATCCATTTTCTAAAGCTTTTTTTGCTCTTAGATATACAAGTTATATAGTTTATACACATGTATTATTTCATAATACTTTTAGTTCACAAAGCCTATTGCTGTCATCTTCTGGTTTTTTGTACAATCCATAAAAGATTTCCATTTTCTTGCGTTTTTGTGTATTTTGTTGTAGAGTTGATGTTAATTTGTCCATTTCAGCCATTAAAAAAATTGTAATCGATTCATCTGGTGTTGGTGTTCTTTGTTTTGCCATAGTTTTGCATATTCAATTTTTTATGCTGTAGTCATGTATAGGAAGATTATTTCATGGTGTTTTGGTATTTGCTTATCTAATAGTCCCCCCAAAAAAGTTTCTGGTTTCAGTGTTACTTTATTTTTATTATGTTTGCAATATCAGTATGCACTTTTATCCAGAAGGCTTTAGCCTTTGGTAAGACCCACCACGTATGATAAAAGGTTCCAGTTGTTTGTTCACATTTTCAGCTGTTGACCACATTTCTGTATACAAACCCAGATGATCTCTTCGATCATCTGGAGAAGTCCTGCTCGCGATCCCACCTGCATCACAGGCGCGATTGGTGGGGACGAGAGAGAGGGCCTTTTCAGTGGTGGCCCCTCGACTCTGGAACTCACTTCCTAAGGACATCAGGCAGGCCCCAACTCTGGAAGTCTTTAGGAGGAGCTTGAAGACGTGGTTGTTCCAGTGTGCCTTCCCAGAATAATGATCCCATAGCACTTTGTCCTCCAAAGCACTTTACATTTTTTAGGTCTGCTTGTATGTTTTCCACAAACGCCCATCACTTTTTCGCCCATGTTCCAGCATTACTTTCAATTTTAATTTTACATTTGGCCTTCCCATAGTTTTAATTGTGTGTTGTCTTATTGTTAATGTTTTGTATTTTATTGTCCATGTTTTTTTATTTTAATTGCTTGTATTGTTGTTATTATTGCTTGTATTGTTGTATTTGGGCTCGGCCTCATGTAAGCCGCACCGAGTCCCTTGTTAAAAAACCCATACAATGGTTTAAAAACATTTCAATAAAGATAAAAATGCAGCACATACTAATGGTTCTTTTAAAGGTGGGAACGCATCCTATAAATCTATATTAAACTTATTAAATATGACTTGCATTATAATGTAGTAAACTGTCAGTTAACCAGCATCCATGAGGATTGGTAGATGTTGGATAAATGTATTATCTGGGTGCTTGACAGTTGCTTTTAAAATAGGCCTAACTGATACTTTACCCCATACTATTCTCTCCCCTCTGTTGTTTAACATCTATATGCGACCACTTGCTCAGCTGGTTCGAGGTTTTGGGCTTGAGTGTTACCAGTACGCTGATGACACTCAGTGGAAGGCCGACCGGACTCTGTACCCGATTTTTTCCATCAGTGCCTCGAGGCCGTTACTGGATGGCGTGCCAGCAGGTTGAGGGTGAATCCAGCAAAGACGGAGATCCTATGGCTGGATCAACCGGGCAGTGGGGATATCCAGCTGCCCACCCTGGATGGCGAGGCGCTATGCCCATCATCATTGGTAAAGAGTCTGGGAGTCCTTTTGGGCCCTCTGCTGACGATAGAGGCCCAGGTCTCCGCCGTTAGCAGAACCGCTTTTTTTAATCTGCGGCAGGCTAGACAGCTGGCCCCCTACCTGTCCAGGGACGACCTAGCTACGGTGATCCAGGCTATGGTCATCTCAAGACTGGACTACTGTAACGCCCTCTACATTGGCCTTCCTCTGTCGGTGATCCGGAAGCTCAAGTTGGTACAAAATGCAGCTGCTCGGCTTCTTGCGGGAATTCCGATGAGATGCCACATAACACCAATCTTACTACAGCTGCATTGGTTACCAATTGAACACCGGATCACTTTCAAAGTGATGGTACTCACCTTTAAGGCCTTGCATGGTCTGGGGCCGATGTACCTGAGGGACCGCCTCACCCCCTACCAACCCCAGAGATCACTCTGTTCTGAGGACCAAGATCTATTGGAAATTCCCAGTGTCAAGACCTTGCGTCTAACAGCAACTAGACACAGAGCCTTCACAGCAGTGGCACCATCACTCTGGAATACTCTGCTACCTGGGACTTATCAGCTTTCCGCAGGGCATGTAAGACATACCTGTTTCGACAGGCCTTTGATTTTTGATATTGCTGTTTTTAAATTGTTTTAAATTGTTTTTAAATTGTGTTAGATTTTAGCCATTCTTGTAAGCCGCTCCGAGCCCCAGGGGAGTGGCGGCATATAAGTTCGAATAATAATAAATAAATAGAATAGAATAGAATAGAATAGAATAGAATAGAGTATAAGGAGTCCAACTCACAATGTCCACCTGAACATGTGCTGCTTGCTTTCCATCCGCAGTCCAGTAAAAATTAAGTATTATTTATTCATTTATTTTGTTAGTTGTTTGAAAACTTCCGTTGCTTCAGTTCTGGTTAAATAGAGTCCACTGTACGTGGTGGATGCCCTACCCCATTCCCCCTATCCTTTCTTAAGAAGGATTTTCAGCAGAATGCACTGTGGCAAAGTAGCTGCAGGGAAGATAGCAAAACACTGAGACTTGTGCGCCAACTGCGACCATACCTCGTGAAGGCTGATCTGGCCGGGGTGGTCCACGCCTTGGTCACCTCTAGAATGGATTACTGCAATGCGCTCTACGTGGGGCTGCCCTTGAAGACGGCTCGGAAACTTCAATTGGTCCAGCGGGCAGCTGCCAGGATGTTAACTGGGGCTCATTATCAAGAGAGGTCTACCCCTCTGTTTAAGGAGCTCCACTGGCTGCCGTTTATTTTCCGAGCCCAATTCAAGGTGCAGGTGCTTACCTACAAAGCCCTAAACGGTTTGGGACCACCCTACCTGCGTGACCGCATCACTATCTACGAACCCACACGCTCGCTCCGGTCATCTGGAGAGGCCCTGCTCGTGATCCCACCTATGTCGCAAGTGCGCTTGGTGGGGACACGGGACAGGGCCTTTTCTGTGGCGGCCCCCCGACTTTGGAACGCCCTCCCAAAAGATCTCAGACAGGCCCCTACTCTAGCCGTCTTCAGAAGGAATTTAAAAACTTGGCTGTTCCGTTGTGCCTTTCTCAGATTAGGAATCCCCCACCCCAAGTCCAAATAGCACCTTAGCATAACAAATCGTTCTGCACACCGCACTTGAAATCCTCCGTGCCTCCTGCCATTTCAGCACTTTTAATCCCTTGTACCCAGCGCACCGGCCGAACCAGTTTTAATAATGTCTTGATGTACTGCTATTGTTGTTATTTTGCTATTGTTTGATTTGTTCTGCTTTTGTGATGTCTGTTTCTATTATATTGTGTTTTGTGGCTTCGGCCTGTGTAAGCCGCATCGAGTCCTTCGGGAGATGCTAGCGGGGTACAAATAAAGTTAATAAATAATAATAATAATAATAATTTTCCACCCACATTAGCATCATGTGTTTGTGTATATGTTTGTACGTGTGTAGAGTTTGCTGTTAAGGTGTTGATGGTTTTCTCTGCAATCTTACTTCTGTACACTCTTTGCTTAACTGACTCCTTTATCTCTGTCTACCTCTTCTGGCAGCCTTTTCCCTGTAAAAGGACCAATCTGTCTCAGGTAGAGAAACTAAAATTATTTATAACAATTACTATGCCTATGTGTCTCTAACTTATAAATCACTCATCTGTGTCATCTAATGTGCTGTGTTTTGATGTCAATTAAATCATTTTTTAAAACACAACAACTAATGTTTTGAGTGGAATGTATTAAAGTATAAAAGGGTTATTATAATCATTGTTCATTTTTTAAAATGTAATGTTTTTTCCAACAGATTAGAATTTGAGAGACAGCAACGAGAGGAACTAGAAAAATTGGAAAGTAAAAGGTAAGTGATAGGGATGCCTGCCTCTTATTCTCTCCCTGTAATGTCAAGGGAATGGAGTAGAGTTGGAATGGAAGAGAGATGTTTCCAATTAATCTGAGAACCCTGCTCCCAGTAGTATAACAACTCTGGGTTGATCTCATTGTACTTATTGATAGTGTATGCTTCCAGATATAGATTTAAAAATAGTAGTTCTAAAAAGTATATCACCAATAATTCATTTGTTCTTATATAAATATATATTAAACATAAAAATTAATGAATAATGCATTGTGTCTGACATTTTAAATACATGTAATGCTTAATATATAATACCTTATATTCAATGTTGTTAACTATTGGGATATTGATTATGACCTGTTAAGATCATAACCTATTGGGAATTATGACCTATAAGGATCATAACCTATTGGAGATTACGACCTGTTAGGATCATAACCTATTGGGGATGATGACCTGATAGCTTCATAACCTATTGGGTAGCAGAGTTTCCAAGTGTTACTTTAGTTTATTGGGTAATGGATGATCACTGGGCACATAAATATCTTGTTTCTATTCAATGCTGTCAGCAGACAAAGATTCAAGTAGACTTCTTTAAAATAACATGTTTATTTTACTCATAACATGTATTTAAATATACAGGCACATTTATTCTCAGGATAAACTTTACATTATCTATATAAATAAAAATGTCGTGTTTCTCAATCTTCCCAATACTGCGACCCCATAATCCAGTTCCTCGTGTTGTGGTGACCCCCAACCATAACATTATTTTTGTTGCTACTTCATACTTCACACTGTAATTTTGCTGCTGTTCTGAATCATCATGTAAATACCAGATATGCAGGATTTATTTTCATTCACTGGACCAAATTTGGCACAAATACCCAATACGCCCAAATTTGAATACCGGTTGGGTTGGGAGGGGATTGAATTTGTCATTTGGGAGTTGTAGTTGCTGGGATTTATAGTTCCCCTGCAACAAAGAGCATTCTGAACTCCACCAACTATGGAATTGAACCAAACTTGGCACACAGAACTCCTTTGACCAAGAGAAAATACTGGAAGAGTTTGGTGGACATTGACCTTGAGTTTGGGAGTTGTAGTTCACCTACATCCAGAGAGCACTGTGGACTCAAACAATGATGAAACTGGACCAAACTTGGCACAAATACTCAATATGCCTGAATGTGAACACCAGTGGAGTTTGGGGGAAAACAGACCTTGACATTTGGGAGTTGTAGTTGCTGGTATTTTTAGTCCACCTACAATCCGATAGCATTCTGAACCCCACCAATGAGAGAATTGGACCAAACTTCCCACACAGAACTCCCCTAAACCAACAGAAAACAATACTGTGTTTTCTGATGGTCTTTGGCGATCCCCCCTGACACCCCCTCACGACCCCCGACTCCCAGGTTGAGAAACGCTGATATAGAGCTAAGGAAACTGCAAACCCAGGAAGACATACACTTCAAGAAATAAAACAACACTTTGTAAACAGACATAACATTAAATAGAGGAGGCTTAAAAAGGATGTTATCTCCAACATTAACCAGTAGTATATATTTTACGCATGTATGTTTGTATGTATTATTATTTGCTAGTACACAATTGATATTGTTCAAGGGCTACTTTTATCATATTCTTCATAACACGACAATTTTTTGAACAAATAGCCTTTGTCTAAAGCACTGCTTCTTCTTTTTTAAAATAATTTTATTGAGCATAATTGAATTATTTACAGTATAATAAACCACTGCTTCTTAAACTATGGGTCCTGACCCCAAATGCGGTCCCCTTAACTCAATGTTGGGTCTTGAAAAATCTGGAAGTAGTAAAAGTCTTCTGAACATCAGCTAGTGGCTGTTACAGACATTCACATGAATTTGATGAAAAAGTAATATACCTTTTTTTCTTTTTTTATTTAGAAAGTTAATTGAAGAAATGGAAGAAAAACAAAAATCTAACAAAGCTGAGCTGGAAAGAATGCAACAAGAAGTAGAGTCTCAGCGTAAAGAAACAGAAATAGTTCAGCTCCAAATCCGAAAACAAGAGGAAAATCTTAAAAGGAAAAGCTTTCATATAGAAAGCAGGATGAAAGACTTGTTGGCAGAAAAGGAAAAATTTGAAGAAGAGAGGCTACGTGAACAGCAAGAAATTGAATTTCAAAAAAAGAAGCAAGAAGAAGAAGTTTTTTCTCGAGTTACAGAAGAACTTCAGCGATTACAGGAGCTCAATCAGAATGAGAAAGCAGAAAAAATGCAAATTTTCAGAGAACTGGAAAAGCTTAAAAATGAAAAAGAAGAACAATATGTCAAATTAGAACTGGAAAAAAAGAGGCTTGAAGAACAGGAAAGAGATCAAGTACAGCTGGTGGCAAACTTAGAAGAGCAGCTTAGGGACAAACAAGTCATGATTCAGCTGCTCAAAAGAGGAGATGTTCAAAGAGTTGAAGATGAGAAGAAGGACCTTGAAGACATCAAAGAGTCTCTCCTGCGAGTCAAAGAAGCCAGATCTGAAGATGATGAAGACTGCGAAGAGTTAGAAAAGATACAACATAATTTCATGGATTTCAAGAGAAAACAGCTAGAACAGCTAACTAGTTTGGAGCGAGACTTGGTGCAACAAAGGAATCATTTAGAAAAAGAGATAGCTGATGAACGTGAAAACCTGGATCCTTTAAAACACTCCTATACACAACACTCACATCTTGAGAGAAATGATGGAAGCATGCTGGATACTGCCTTAGCGGTTGAAGAATGTAACATACTAAAATCAGCTGAGTATAGGACGCAGCATAAAGAACGGCAGCTCCTGTTTCTGATGAATAATCATTTGCCAGCTTTGCTGGAAGAAAAGCAAAGGGCCTGCGAAATACTTGATCGAGGCTTCCAAAGCTTGGACAATACTCTTTATGAAGTTGAGAAAGAGTTAGAAGAAAAGGAAGAACAGCTTGCACAGTATAAGGACAGTGCAAGCCAGCTACAGCAGCTTCAAGAAACATTTGAATTCACGGCCAATGTTGCTCGGCAGGAAGAAAAAGTGAGGAAAAAGGAAAAAGAAATTCTTGAATCAAGGCAGAAGCAGCAGCGAGAAGCGCTGGAGCAAGCAGTAGCCAAGTTAGAAAGACGACATTCTGCTTTGCAACGTCATTCTACCATCGAGATTGAAGAGCAGAAACAGAAGCTCGCGACTCTGAATAGCAGTTGCAGTGAGCAGGCCGGCTTGCAAGCTACGCTGGAGGCAGAACAGAAAGCATTGGAGCAAGACCGAGAACAGTAAGAGGAATCCAATTTGCCTTTAACACACACATATACACATTCTTCTGTTTCACTTATTGTAAAAACCCAATTTCAATGGTGCAACAGAAAAGTAGTTACTTGAGCAGAAAGTAACTATAACACTCTTCTCATAGTCAAAATGATACTAATTTCAAGGAAGATGCTCATCCAATGGAAACTTATCTCCCTATATAAGTACGAGGGGTATTTTTTAAGTAAGGTCCATTTGAACATAAGTACACAACGAAAGTTTATTTCAAAAAAGTAAATTTATTTTCAGAAAGTACATACTTCACTCTATTTTTCAACATAGTTGCCAAGTTTGTTCAAACACTTATCATACCTCTGAACCAATTTTAAAATACCCTCTTCATAAAAACTTGCCGCCTGCTCCAATAACCAAGAGTTCACTGCCGTTTTCACGTCGTCGAAGGGCGACCGGAGCGGTCCTCATCATGGACGTTGTCACGGCCATCTTTGAATTGTCGTACCCACTTACGCACTTTGCTTTCACTCATAACAGTATCACCGTACACTTCACAAATCTGTCGATGAATTTCTGCAGCAGGCAGGTTCCTTGCTGACAAAAACCGTATCACTGAGCGAACCTCACATGCGGAGGGTGAGTTGATAGTCTTAAACATTTTTAAAGCACAGAACAGAACCGTACAGGTTAGCTACAGAGCGGAAACTGAGCACAGTTGTTCCCGAGGCATGCCGGTACACGACACACGCGCTCGTTGCAGTATGCGCGCGAACTACTAGTGTCTACAACAAAACGGACCTTACTTTAAAAATACCCCTCGCAGTTGTTTTTGGAAGGGCATTTTATCCCACCTGCTGCTACCATGAAAATTACACTGGCCAACACACATTTTGGTGTCTCAGATGTCACACCTGTTTCTGGGTATATCTGACCTGCCAATTGTAAAAATGACACCAGTTTTTCCCTATGAGCTCTAGTTTTTGAGAAGGAGAACGTGGCATTTACCAGTCACCACCTGCTGGCCCATAGAAAATCATGATAGCTATTTCATTAGAGCTGATGCGGTCTATCCCAGGCATGGGAAAACTTCAGCCCTCTAGGTAGGCCGAAGTTTGCCCATGCTTGGGATAGACCACAATTCCTAACAACAGGTAAGCTGGCTGGGATTTTTGGGAGTTGAAGTCCAAAACACTTGGAGGACTAAAGTTTATCCATACCTTATCTATCCAATGCAATTTTCTGAATTAGTGCCCAAAATAGTCCCAGGAACAGGCCTAAAAACCGACTAATATTTACGAGGGGTATTTTTTAAGTAAGGTCCGTTTTGTTGTAGACACTAGTAGTTCGCGCGCATACTGCAACGAGTGCATGCGTCGTGTACCGGCATGCCTCGGGAACAACTGTGCTCAGTTTCCGCTCTGTAGCTAACCTGTACGGTTCTGTTCTGTGCTTTAAAAAATTTTAAGACTATCAACTCACCCACCGATGAATTTCTGCATCATAAAAACTTGCTGCCACCAAAAGCCACCAAATTGTCTGTAATCAAAGAAGGGCGACCGGAGCGGTCCTCATCATGGACATTGTCACGGCCATCTTTGAATTGTCGTACCACTTACGCACTTTGCTTTCACTCATAACAGTATCACCGTACACTTCACAAATCTGTTGATGAATTTCTGCAGCAGGCAGGTTCCTTGCTGACAAAAACCGTATCACTGAGCGAACCTCACATGCGGAGGATGAGTTGATAGTCTTAAACATTTTTAAAGCACAGAACAGAACCGTACAGGTTAGCTACAGAGCAGAAACTGAGCACAGTTGTTCCCGAGGCATGCCGGTACATGACGACGCTCGTTGCAGTATGCGCGCAAACTACTAGTGTCTAGAACAAAACGGACCTTACTTAAAAAATACCCCTCGTATTTATTAGGGGTATAAATAAAGATTATTATTATTATTAAAACTTTTATATCCTGATCTTCTCTACCTCCGTGGAGGGACTCAGACCGGCTAACAGCAGAAATTCAATGCACAAATAATAATAATAATCATCATCATCATCATCATCTTTATTTATTACCCAGTCACCATCTCCCCAATGGGGACTCAGAGCGGCTTACATGAGGCCAAGCGCAAATAACAATTACAATAAAAAACCAAAAACACAAACAATAAACAATAACATCATAATTACATAAAACATATAAATACATAACAATATTAAAAAAATATGCACAGGGACAATAATAATGGACGGGCTACATGTAGTGATCATAACATCATAAAATCATAATAAGTTAAAATACAGACAGAGTAAATACAACAATATATATATTTTTGTTGGACTATCTTATCAGTCAGTTTATTACAGTAAAAAGCAACATTCTGGTTAACGTGAAGACAGTTTTAATGTCGGAGCCAGTTTGTTTTGTTAGGCTACAGCAAATATTTCCTTCCTTTTAGCCAGATGGAGGGCTTTTTCCTGGAGAAACAAGAGGAAATGCCTTAACGTCTTTAAATGGCTAATGGGGACATTGTAACATCATTTCTCTATTAATATGTATGATTTCTTCCAGACTTGCATACTATTTGTATTTTGTGTTTATGGTTTTAGCCATTGTAAAATCTGAGATAAATATCGAGGCCATGGTCTAGCGTACTTATTTATGTGTTTATAAATGAGTTATTTATGTGATGATAGCTGTAATGTGCTTCTCATTGTGAACAGATTTTTAGTTTTGAAGAGCAGCTAGTTGTTGTGTAGTAACATTAACCTGTTTGTTTAAGCTCTTTAGAAGGTTCCTTTAAGACCTCTGTAGAAAAGAAGAGCTAGAGTTAAAAACCAAATTTGAATCCATAATTCAGTTTCTTCCCTACTATACAAAGAATTATAGAGAACATGCAGCAGAGATTTTAGGGGAATGCAATTTTATTAAAGTTCCAAATACTTACTTTTCCAATGCAAATTTTAGATTATCATTCATATTTGCCAGCTATCTGGAGTGATATGTGTTGGGCTTTTTTTTGCTTTGTTTTGTTTTGGACCATGATGAAATGTGAGGCTGCTTACGTTTGAAAGCAGCAGATGTTAATCTTTCAAAACAGATTGTCTGCATTGGTGTTTGTTTTAACATATTAGTTTTCTACTGTGCAGCTGTTGTTGATTTTTAAAAGGCATCAAGCAATAATGGATTTAAGAATTTTTAAAGGATTTTTTTGAATACTTGAAATGTTTTTTTAAAAAAAAACCCACAAAAAAACCATTTACCTTCATTTGTATCTCCTGACTTGAGCCAGTATGCCTCAAAACTAAATTGCTTATTGTTTTTGCCCAAAATGATCCAAACTTACTCAAATGTTACTAATGGTCTAAGACTCATGAATCAATCTAATATTAATAAACTACAATGTTTTCTCTGTAAATTAATACTATTGATTTGTTTAACATTATATTATACGTTCTAGCCCACCCCTACTACCAGTGGATTCCAGAATCCATGGATGCTCAAGTTCCATTATATACGACATAATATATAAGATGACAAAATGAAGGTTTTCTTTTGGGATTTTTTTAATTGTTGAGTCTGTGGGTACAGAATTGATGGGCTGACTGTAATGTGTTTTTAATACTAAATAAGTACTTTGCTATTGAAACAAATTTATTGAAGATTCTGTGTACATATATTTGAGGGACTGCTTCTTGTGTAATACCAGGATTTCATTTCTTCTGTAACAGTGTTGGCGCTAGTGATATTTCCACTGAAATACAATTGGAAATGAGGATAGTGTGAGACAGCTATTTGCAAAGACTGTCAGTCCTTCATATCCACAGCTTGAATGGATGAATATATATCTATATAAATAAAAATGTAATGTTTATTTGTGGGATTAACATAACTCAAAAACCACTGGATGATTTGACACCAAATTTGGACACAATACACCTATCAGCCCAATGAGTGACTATCACTGATAAAAACACTGAAAAACACAGTGGAAGGGACTTAAAAGCCAAAAATGCAAAACAACATACACATACAACACATATACACAGACTGGGCCACAGCAACGCATGGCAGGGGACGGGTAATATATATTCATTCCCAAAGCAATCCTTTATTTTGCACTTTCATATAAAGGATGGTGTAGTGAATTTTATGATCTATGTTTTATTTTTGGTTACAATATGGTTGATAGGGAAGAATTGGCTCAAATAGGGTAGCAACAGTGAAGGCAGGATTAATTTGCATATGTGAAGCCGATTGGTTGTATGCAGATGAGATTATGCCAGGATTTGAAAAGGCCGCTGAGCCAGAATGGCAGTTACAGAACTGAACATTCTAAAGGGGCGGAGTCAAGTTTGAAAGAGGCAGTTAGAGATTGTCAGTTAAAAAAAGAAAAAGGAGAGGAGCAGTTAGGAACCTCGGTTAGAGAGAAGCAGTTGGGAAATGGAGCTCAAGGTTTAAGGAAAAATAAAAGGCGCCAGTGTGGCCTAAGTCAGAATATAGTTCAGCCAAGAGTATATGAAGAAAGTAACATTTTCGTTGATGTGAAACAGTGAGAGTTTCATAGGAAAAGTTAACCAAGTGAATGATACTGAATGTAAGACTCGTTGATGTGAAACAGTGAGAGTTTCATAGGAAAAGTTAACCAAGTGAATGATACTGAATGTAAGACTCGAGACTGTAACAAAACACACATGTAACCATAAAGCATTGGAACCAGAAACTATAAATAAACTTTGTTACTTGGTTGCTTACCAGAGTGTCTCAAGCCTGTGATATAAAGCACAAAGGTTAAACAGCTCACAAGAAAGCCCCAGCCAATTTAAAAGGGAAACTGCAGCAGTACAAGGCGGTAAAGGGATTTAGAAAGGAAATTATTTTTCCCCTCACTTAGTCAAAAGGAAAGGCACTGTAAAAGGACAGAAACAGAGTATGTCCCAGGTATTAAAGTGGTGACAGAAAACTACATATGTGGTGTGGCATCACGTATTCAGTTATGTGTAATGTTACGCCCCACAGATGGCATTTTAATTTGCTATTGTATAAAATGAGACTTTAGTGTCTACAATTTTTGGTATTTGTGGGTAATCCTGGAACCAAACCATGGTGGATACTAAGGGTACACTGTAGTGTAGAAATCAAGGCTACTTGTAAAGGGGAAGTGTCAACATTTATTTTATGAAGATGCTGATATAATCCCTGAGTGGTTGTCTATCATCTCAACATGCTGTGTTGATATTGCAAAAGGGCTGTTAACATTGTGTTTTTCAAATTTTAAGTTTTTTTTTCAAGGCGTTTGGATGTTTGTATACTGAAGGAGAAGACGATGTCTGCAAATATATTTTCTCTCCATCAGTGGTTCTCAACCTGTGGGTCCCCAGGTGTTTTGTCTTACAACTCCCAGAAATCCCAGCCAGTTTAACAGCTGTTAGAATTTCTGGGAATTGAAGTCCAAAACATCTGGGGATCCACAGATTCAGAATCACTAATCTACATAAACTGAAAGTCAGCAGGCTTATGTTAGGGAAGTTTCATAATACAAATCTTACTACAGCAACCCCACTGTGCAGAAATGTTTTCAATAATATTTGGTGAATTTTCTTGACAGTTTGGATTTACAAATAGAGCAGTTAAAGCAGACGATATACGAAGAGGGTGGCGCTGAAAAGGGGTCTCCTGGAGCCATAGAGGAGAGACATCCTCCGGTTTATAATGCTACAAAATCTCAACCCCATTTCATTCCATTGGTAGATGACAGGTATGTATGCATGTTTTGTTATCTTGTATGTCTTTAGAAATGCTATAACCTAGTTTTCTACTGAAGTATTTTTAGATGGATGCCTTTAATAAAATTGCTAAAATAATTTTTACATTGTAATTGGAGTAGAATGGCACAGTTCTATTCCTTTGAAGATTTTGAAATGTTTCCCAAATAAGACTGAACCTTGTTTTTGCTTTTTCTCAGTGTAGCTCCTGAATTTGAGCTTTTAAAATTGAGCCCCAAGGGGTTCTAGCATTTTATGATTATAGTTTCACAACACTTGGGAAATCTGTTTAATGCCGTGTAATCATGGGAATATGAGACATTACCCAATAGTATATGCAGAACAGAATTTCTCACCTAACCATAACTCCCTTGAGGTTGTTTTTTTTCTTTTCAAACATTATCAACACACACACACACACACACACGATTTTTCTCTCTTCTGTTGCTTTTAACCAAATTTTTACTCTGTAGCAACTGTGAGATAATGCTTTCTCTTATTATAAATAAGCAAATTTCACAGTGGAAACTAGAATTATATGCTGCAAGCCATGATAGAAATCCAGCTTCTGTCGAAGACAATAACAAAACCTCCATTGATGTTTTTAAATGGAGGATTGAAACTGATAGCGGCTGTTGTATGTGGCAGTGGAATGGAGAAACAGACTGCCACCAAATCTTCAGTTGACTGCAATTAGGAACTGTAACAAATCTAAGAGCAAGAAAAGCAATTTCTACTACAATTTAAGAAAGATTGTACTTAATTTCTTTTTAGCCAGCCCAGGATTCAAGATAGCTTGCAATATATTAAACTATAAATCTGTTTTTCATTCTCTTATCATCTTGCCTTATTTCTAATCACCAAGAGTTATTTCAAAGTACCTTGTTTATATGTTTTCTGTGCTCAGTATTACCTAAGGGACAGTGCCTTTGCGGTCCTTTTTCATGAGTAAACATTTTTTTTCTTTTCATTCCCAATCTTAAGAATAAATGCTTTTATTGAAGAAGAAGTTCAAAGACGCCTTCAAACATTTCACTGCAATTCTGGTGAGAACAATTGCACACTGTCACATTCTACAGATCTTACAAAGGTATGATGGTATTTTTGTCTACTGTAAACATGTGTTTATGATCACTTCTGTTGAAAAAAAATGTTCTTCTGAGAGTTCAAGGTATTGAGCTCAAAAATAAATTACTCCATGGACTTTCTTTACTTGCAACTCTCTCACTATTGTTCAAGACAAAAACAGCAGCAGCTGTTTTTTTCCATTTTTTTTCTCTTTGACAAAAAGATTTTCAGATAATATTTTTGCCATGTAAGTAATTTGGCATTTTACATATAAGAGGTACAGCAGGTTCCTGTTTTTCACTTCGTACATCTGTGTGATCAGGGCATCTTCATTCCTTTGATTGCCCCATGAAAATATGGTTCATGCAGCTTGTGTCAGCTACTCTTGACATACAGAACAAAATATTACAGTGTAGCTGTTGTGCAAATATCTGTGGCTGAAATATTGTTTTTTATTTATTTTTATTTTATTTTATTTTTATTAAAACTGTTTATTTTGATTATTGTACATAACAGAAAAGCAAATCATGGCAAATATAATCAGGTACCAATATTTTTGACGTGTACATGCCTATCTACCTTATTCAATCAATCAGTTAATTTTGACATTAAGTACAAATTACACTGTTCAACGGAGAAAAAGTTGCGGGCCTGAAAATAGTTGTTCTTTTATGATTTTGGGGTGTTGAAAACGGAAATGACATTTAAAAATGTATATTGGCTCTAGTTTTTATGATATAAGCAATCACGTGATCACGTATGGTTGAAAAAATGCATGTTGCGACTTACACTGTGGAAGATTCTAGAATACTCTAGAAGGTTTGATGACGCAGTATTAGTGCCGTGTGCAAAAGCCAGAAAGCCCTATATAAGGCCAGACTTTTGAACGGTGAGGGTCAGTCAGTTGAAGACTGAGACAGTATCATTAAACATCGTTTTACATTGTTCTTTTTACTGTAGTTATGCCTCGCACGTGTAAATAAAGCACTATGGAAAAAAGATATCAAGGCAAATGGACTCCGTCAATGCTGTCAGACTCCTGCTGGAGCATTGTAAGAGACAATCCTTTCCTTGAATACAAAAGAAAAGTCAAGAGAAGCAAACAGGATATAAACTAAATTCACGATTAAAGCGACATTTAAACTTTCAGACTTTTCAACTGCATTAGGCCTACTAATATAGTTTCTTGCTGCACAAACATAAACAATAGACTAATTAAATAAATATTTCTCATGTATAAACTATTGGCAATATAATTTGACTAAAATTTAGTAAATATTCACGGTTTATATACATGCAGTAAGGTTAGGCGCATTATCATAATATTAACGAATTACCTATTTTGGAGAAAATTGAAATAGCTGTTGCATAAAAACCAGAGCCAATTAACACATTTAATTATTATATTTGAATTCAGCATGTTAAATTTATTAAGAAACGGCACATTTCGTTTCCGCAACTGAGAAAAACTGAAAATTTGTAGAACAGTGTTATTAACATTTACATATCTTAATACACATAGACTTGCTATTTCTGCCTGTTTTCCACTACTTTCAGTCAAAGCTTTCTATTAAAATTTTTTCCATAACATTCAGGAAATCAGCACATGGCACTTTACACACATCAGACCTTGCACTCATCCCAAACCCCCTATCCTAAACAAAATCAACCCTCAACCCCACACCCGTGCACTCTTCACCATGACTTCCCACACCGAAACACTATTTATTTATTTATTTATTTATTTATTTGATGCACTTATTAACCGCCATTCTCAGCCCTTACGGGCGACTCATGGCGGTGTACAGTACACATAAAAAGACAATTACAAAAGCCAGTATCAACAACATATAACTATACAACAAATACAAACTACATAACACTTCGGTAGATGGAGGATACCGGAGGCAAGCGTTAGCCGTGAAAAAGATGGTTCTTTGAATACTCGAGTATTAAAGTGCAAAGTGCAAAGTAAATTCCGCGGCTACCGAGTAATTCTTAAGGTGCAAGGTTTTTTAAAGTGCAACAAGATATTAAAGTGCAACAGCCTCAACAGAAAAATATTTGGCCCCCTATACTACTAAAGTGCGGCAGGAGGAGTTAGGAGGGGTAAAGTGCAACAGTTGATAAAGTGCAAACAGTTGGCTACGGAACAGGCGCCACTAAGCGCTATATTATGTTCTTATTACCACATTAGCAGCAGAGGTAGGGTGGACTATACCGTGCAGTGTTCGCAAAATGTACACAGTAGTCAGGAGACTGGAAGTTAGTAAAGTGCTATGATTCAGATGTAAATAGCTGACGTTTGATGTAAGTTAGCGGATGGACCTCCGGAGGTGGTCGACACGGTAATGGTCAGCCCAGTTGGTCTATATAAAAAAGGACGGCACAAAAAGGTCTACACAACATCAATCAGCGCAGAGAGGTCAGCACAGAGAGGTCTACACATTGCATGCCCAAAGGGCTGCACACTGCCAGGGGGTCTACCCACTGCTGGATGAACCTAGACGAAGAAGCCCAGCCAGGAGGAGCAACGAGCAGTGCTGGGTCCAACGGCAGCGTCCTGAGCGGCCAGATGGCAAAAGTCAGGCAAAGATCATGCCCACCAAATCCAGATAACAAGGGCCCAGCTAGACGACGCTCAGCGGTGGCAAACAGCCCCAGCAGCTGAGCCCCAACGGTGATAACAGCCCCAGCAGCTCAGGCAGCTCACCTCTAGGGGTCACACCGCAGCTTCGTCGCTTTGCCTGCTTCACCCCTGATGGAGGGGGGCGAGCCGGCCGCTCGGATGGCCTCGAGCGGCCTCTGTGCTGTGGCGGCGATCCTGACCGCGGCGACAGCCCCAGCGGTGGTTCAGCCCCTCCGGTGGCCGCGGCTCTGGTGCAGCGGCGATCCCCGGCGGCAGCAGCCCCAACAATGGCTTGGTCTCCAGCGGCAGGAGCGGCGGCGGCCCTGGCTGCGGCCCGGCCTCCGCGTTGGCTCCGGCGTTAGCGTTGGCTCCGCGTTGGTCTAGCGGCAGCGGCCTGGCAGCGCCAGCTGGCAGCAGCGGCCCGGCAGCGGCGGCAGCTCTGGCGGTGGCCCCGGCGGCGGTCCGGCCAGCAAACGCTTCAGCAGCTTCAGCAGCAATGCTTAGTAGGCCCAAGGGGCGCCGGGGAGCTTTCCTTCCTTCTCTCCCTCCCCCGGGCCGGTGGGAGGGAGGTGCGCGCGGCGGCGGGGCCTAGCAGGCCCAAGGAGCGCCGGCGAGCTTTCCTTTCTTCTCTCCCTCCCCTGGATTGGCGGGAGGGAATAGCGCGTGATAACAGGCCCTAACAGGGCCGAAGGGGCATCAAAGTCCTTTCCTCCTTCTCTCTCTCCCCGGAGTCGACGGGAGAGGAGGGTGCGCGGTGGTGGGGCCTAGCAGGCCTGAAGGGCGCCGGAGGGCCTTTCCTTCCTTCCTTCTCTCCCCCCCCGGTGGGTCCTCCCAAAGGCCAGAGCCGGGCTCAGCAGCAATGTCTCGGCGGCAGCACCGGCAGCGGGGTCGCTAGCAAGACGCCAGCACACTCACCAGGTAAGGTTTGGGTTGAGGGAGCCTGCCTCGTTGTCCTGGCGCTGCACCTCGTCCTTCTTTATCCTTTATTTTTCTCCCGGATCCCTGACTCCCGATCTACTTGACCCAGCACCAGATCCCTGATAGTCTTGGGATCTCCTCCTTGGTTTGGAGGGGGCTGGGAGGGGGGGATGAAGCCTTTAAGCCTATTTATCTTTCCTTATTCATGGTAAACCTAAATTCCTAATGGAGCTCCTCTATATAACTGATTCTCTATTATTAAATATTGTTTTTTAGAGGGGGAAATAAAAATAAAAGTAGCATCAAAGCCAGAAGTTTCTACTGTAATTTTTGTCTGTCTTTTTGTGCAAAATTAGAAGTACTGAAAGTCCCACTACCTGAGTGTAGCTCAGTGGGACATGGTTCCAGTTAGTACTGGATTTTGCCTTGACAGGAAGCAATATAAGTAGATCACCCTATGCTGCAACTTGAGAACTATGCTGGATTCGTAACAGGGAATTGCTATCTCTGACTTGCAATATTAGCAGTGGAGTACTTTATCTCAGCACACGTCTTGTAGTAGTGGCATAACAGCTAATTCCACTGCAAGGTTATTATGTAATATATCCTGCTTTCTAAAGGATGAATGAAGGGGAGAACTCTTCGGGGAACATAAGCTTCACTCTCGGCTTCAGCTCAACCATGAATTTGGGTCTTATGCTGCTGAAGAACATTGCAAGGTTGTGAACCACTCAAACAACCTTTGGGATGTTTTCTGGCTTTATGTTTGAACACTTTGGTGTCCAATGTTGTCTGTGTTTAAAATCTTGATGTCTCTTTGTAGAGATTTAAATATGTCTTTTTGATGATAGCTAGGAAAAATCCACCCAGAAAATAAGATGGCTATCGTCGAAGGCTTTCATGGCCTGAATCATTGGGTATTGTAGGTTTTTCCGGGTTATATGGCCATGTTCTAGAGGCATTTTCTCCTGACGTTTTACCTGCATCTATGGCAAGCATCCTCAGAGATAGTGAGGTCTGTTGGAAGTAGGAAAATGGGTTTATATATCTGTGGAATGACCAGGGTGGGACAAAGGACTTTTGTCTGCTGGAGCTAGGTGTGAATGTTTCAACTGACCACCTTGATTAGCATTTAATGGCTTGGAAGTGCCTGGGGGAATCTTTTGTTGAGAGTGATTTGATGTGCCTGATTGTTTCCTCTCTGTTGTTTTGCTGTTGTAATTTTAGAGTTTTTTAATACTGGTAGCCAGATTTTGTTCATTTTCATGGTTTCTCCTTTCTGTTGAAATTGTCCACATGCTTGTGGATTTCAATGGCTTCTCTGTGTAGTCTGACATGGTGGTTGTTGAGTGGTCCAGCATTTCTGTGTTCTCAAATAATATGCTGTGTCCAGGTTGGTTCATCAGGTGCTCTGCTATGGCTGACTTCTCTGGTTGAAGTAGTCTGCAGTGCCTTTCATGTTCCTTGATTCGTGT